GCCCTTTTCACTGTGATGGTTGTGGATTTGTCTCGGATGTACTTGGAAAGTAAGTAATTATTATCTCTTTGACTATGCATGTATTTTACTTTTTTCATATATTTCATTGTGTATGCCAAGCTAAATATAAGTATTATGTTATAATTTTTAGGATTAGGATAGTAGTTCGTGTGCAAGATCAAAGTGGGTCTTCTTCGTTCGTATTGTTTGAGCGTCATGTAAAAGATCTTATTCGTCGTGGAAACCAATGGTTTATGGAAAAAATAGCTAAGGTTTGATAAAATATCTCCCTTATTTAAATGATTGGCATATATGATTTTTCTTCTTTAACTTTTCCAACCATTTTATAATGTAAATTAGGATCAAGGACGACAACAGATACCTGATGAGTTCAAAATCCTTCTAAATAAGAAGTTTGTCTTCAAAGTTCAGATATCCATGTTCAATCTGCAGAACAACTATCGTGCTTACACTGTACATAAGTTGACTGATGATGAAAGGGTTATTGCTGAGGTTTTTAAACGGTCACCAAATCATCAACACCATAATATAAATGATAATGGTACTCCTATTAACAAGCCAAATAAGGTTGGTAACTGTCTCATATATTTCCAAAGTCAAACCCTATGCCCTCTCTTCAATATATTTTTCTTTCATTTTTCATGAATTTGTGCAAATATGTTATGTTTTTTTTTATATTTTACTTGATCGATTTTTATTATTTTCTGTTTTCTACAGGAAAATACTAATTCTGTGCATGATGACAATCTTGATGTTGTTGACCTTGAAGCTGTTACACCATCATCCAGTACGGGGAAGCGCCCTATTGAGATTGATGCCAACACTGACTCTTTGGAGTGGTCTTCTTCAAAAATTGGTGCTGTACGGGATACCTTGAAGATCCCAAAGTTGGAAAAGTTAGACTAATATGAAGCCGCCCAGCAAAATTTTACATATCGTCTTCAATATGTTTAGAGACATTTTCTTTTTAATCTTTTGTGTGTCGCACTTTTAATTGCCTGTTTATGGATATTTTGGTTGTTTTTAAAATTTTATTGGGTTGTTATTTGGTGTGAACACGATGATATTCGTGCTATTTATGACTATTTCAAGTTATTGAACTGTTTTGATTTAATGCATATTTTGTTTCTTTTCTTTCGTTCATCATTTGATTTAATGCATATTATGTTATTGAACTGTTTTGATTTAATGCATATTTAGTACAGCTGATTGGGCCGAATATTTGCTTCAAAAAAGGTTCATCTTCTTTCAAAGAGTATATACAGGTAATTAGCTATTGTCACAGCCCACAAAATGTCAAATCACATTTCACTTATTTCTTGAATTCCAATTCTACCCTAATAAATTGTATTGTATGACCATAACAGGAATGTAAGCAGCTGGGATTTGATACAGTTGAGCTAAATATGGGTTCACTTGAACTTCCTGAAGAAACTTTGTTGAGATACATAAGGTTAATTAAGAGTGAGGGGCTTAAAGATAAGCCTTAATTTGCTGTTAAGTTTAACAGCAAATGATATTGCTCCAACTTGTTCAAGAGCTTATGGTGCTTATGTTGTTCCAACACCTCAAACATCTAGTAATTAAGACTCCACCTTCTTTCCTTTTCGACATGAGTGTTTGAAGTACTAAAAGCATTGTGAGTGCTAAATGGTCATTTTTTATGCTTTTTGGGTCCTTCCAATAACCGTGTTTGATTCGATGAATAAACGCATTATGAAACATGGATCAAAAAGGAAAAAAAATTACTTTTTGGACCAAACCCTAAAAAGGACTAAAAGTGTTATGAGGGTAAAATGGTCATTTTAAATGCTTTTTGGGTTCTTCCATTAACCGTGTGTGACTTTGACTTGTGGACTAAAAGCATTATGAAACAATGGTCATTTTATATGCTTTTTCGGTTCTTCCATCCTATCCTTTAACTTCTTATAATTGACTTGTAGGACATGGGCAAGGTTCCTCTGGTTTTTATACTAAGCTGTGTTTGTTGCTTCTGTTTCCACATCCGTGTATATAGTTCTCCAGCTACTACATTTTCTTATAAGCTATGGTGTAGAGTCTTTTATATATATCATATTACACAATTTATTCCCTCACACCTCAAGGAATATCCGTGTCCGATGTCACACCCCCAAACCAGAACGGCGGAAACGTTCAGGGGCGGAGGACGTCATGCTCAGTATCATAACCATAGTGAAGAAAGTAAAACACAACCATCATAGATATAATTTAAAAGGTTACAATGTTTCAAAATAATACATATTTTCAAAATAAATTACACATGATGATAAAATGTAGCAAAAGAATCCACGCCTTAGCGTCTTGACTTCAGAAATCTCGTTGTTACCTGTATTACTGATTACCTGAGAATACAAGTTGTTTTGAAAGAGTATCATCATAAAGCTGGTGAGTTCATAAGTATTTTATGAAAAATGAATGTTGTTTCCTTAATGTTTGATACAAGTTTGTTTCCAGAAAATCCAATATTTTCTAAAAGATTTGTTGTAGACTAAATTGAAACAAGGCTTAGTATGTGTAAGTAAATCGTCATACTTATGTGTGTGTTTTATATTTAAATAAAACTCCTTTGTA